AAAAAAACAAATTATTTAATTAGATGATGTTTATTTTGTGTTGTAAAATATTTATTTACCTTTATAGAATTTAGCTATTATTTTGTTATAAAGCAAAATATTAAATCATGATGTAAAAAATACTACATATTTCTATTTTCTGTATAAGAAAAAAATACCTTCATTCATTTTTTTTTACTAGGAGCAAGAATTTCCACCATTTATTCCTATTTAAGAAATTGCAAATAATTATTTGTACTACAATGCATAAATTTTTTTATTAAAAGAAGAAAATTTGCCGGGTCACATTTTGCGTAAACAGTCAAATGATATTAATATATGTTAATATATTTAATTGGGACTTGATAGGAAAAAACGGTTAAAAAAAAAAGTAACTGGGTGAAAAAAGAAAATTGGTAGGAAAATGTCTATTAAAGAGTTTTTTATTTTTCAATTATTTTGACATTGTAATACTAATACTAAAGTGAATTTTGAATTCACATAAATTTTGGGATATTAATATTTAAAATCCACAATGCCAAATTTTATTATAAATTTTTTTTTACATAACTACGACTCAAAAAATTTTAAAGAGGATGGTGGTGTTGTGGTTTCTACGGATTCGAAAGGCCAAAGACATTAAATAGGGGCTTGTAAAGAGAATAATCACATCTCAGTAGTTATGATCCAAAAAAATATAAATAGGATGGTGTCGTGGTTTCTATTAAACAATTCGTTTTATAATTCGAATACTTGTAATTCTTCTGTCTATCAACACTATGTAAATATAGTGGCAGTGTGAAACATGATATTTAGAATTGGTTTTATTGTGTTAATTATTTCGCCAGTCATAATAATAATAGTAATAATAAAATAACTTTAAGTCGTTATTTAATTAATGTCTTTATAAATACAAAAAGGAAAAAAATCTTTTAATTATTTAGTTTATAGATAAAGCAAAACTATTAAAAAATTGAAGAATCTGTAGTGATAAAAAGAGGTTGATCGAAATTATAAATCATCATTTTGTTCTTGAGATTCCTTTGCCAACCTAAATTGTTCTTCAGAAAATTCATTCTGTAATTTATTAATCTCAGATTGGTAAGGATGAGAGGAAGAAAAAGAATAGTCTATGAAATTAAGAAAGATGTCATATGGACCTGAATGTATTTGACTACTTTGATGTTCCATGCGAATTATGCCCAAATAGAACATAAAATTTATTCTCATTGCGTTCAAATGTATTCTGCTAATTTTGAATTTATTTGTTTTATCTTTTTTTATTTCTACATAATCTTTCATCAATTGTAGTTTTTCAAAGTTAACAATTTTATTGCATATCATGATCAATGCAAAGAAGATGCCGTCGTTCTTTTGTTCTTTGAAATCCCCTTCTTCCAAAGCATTAAATAAATTTATTAACCTCATAATGACAAGTTCTATATCAATTTCTATAAAACCATCATTTGTAGAATAGTTGACTTTTCCTCTAATTACCACGTTTTCATTGTCCTTTTCACTTAAATTAATATAACCAAAAACATAATCTATCATTAGAAAGTACAAATAGCATAACTTTGCATTTCCTTTAAGATGCCTTAATAACACACTAAATATAAATCTTATCCCTTTATCGGTTTCTTGTTGATGACCACGCCATTCTTGGTGAATTGCTTTGATTATATCTACATCATGTGAAGCATTTTTTGCTGAATATTTATCAAATAAACAAAGGCCTTCAAAATCTCGATGATCTTGTAAAAATCTTTTTGAAATGTTTCTAAACATACTAAAATCTTTAAAATTTTGACTTTTTCCTAAAATTTCTCTAAATTTATTTGTTTTTTGTTCTTCTTCCATTATTATTATTATAAAGTCAAATTATATTTAAGAAAAGAAAAAGAGCAAAAAAAATTCATTTATATAAAGTTTATTCTCGGTAACTACACTACACGTATTGTAAAGTAGTGAATTTCTTTCGCCATATGATATGCGTTAATCTATTGTCTGTTGTCAAGAAAATCAATCTATTGTTACCATTACTATTACTGCGATGCAATTAATGGTAATAAAATACGTTTTTGTTGTTATGTAGTTTTTATTAGTAAAAAACAAACAATCAAATGACTTGATTTAGAAGAATTATTTTAACAAATTTTAATTTAGTAAATTTTAAAAAAGACAATTCTGAGGAATTAAATTGTTGGTATTTTGATAATACATTATAATTAATAATACAATAATAATACACAAGAATATATTTAAAAATCAAGTAAAAAAAATTAATCCCCTGACGGGTGACGACTTTTATTTTGCTTGCTTTTTTTAAAAAATCTCACTCTTAATAATTTATTAATTTTGTGAAACATCGGCTTCTGCTCATATGAAAATTTTATGTAGAAGTCCAACGAAGAATTAACTGAAAGGTAATCAGATTCGTAAAGGGTCTGTTACGGCAAACGATCCAAGCACAACAATATTATTTATTTTTAAAAATTTTTTTTCTTTCAAATGATATCCGCAATTTTCTGGATATTATATTTTTCATCGTCAATTATAAATATAAAATTTATTTTATACAGAAATTTCATAAGCCCTTTGTTGTCTCTTCATTGTCGATATATAACATAGTATTAGTGTTAATTATTACAAGTATTGCATGTAATTATGGATTAGTTTCGAATATCTAAAATCATGTGTATATCAAATCGTTAATTACTCACGATTGTTGTTATATAGGATACTTATATAAATTTCCTTTTGATTTTTATTATCTCTGTTCCTGAGTCATTGATGAAAGACCCCCATTTTTTTAAATTCTTGATACTAAATAAAACTTGCGATTGTTTAAAACAATACAGTTGAAAAATCTCCAAATAAGTAAACAATAAAATTTGTGTGATGTCACATGACATATTTTTATATAGGTCTTCATAGCTAAAGTATGCAAAATACATTTAATCGAATCAAAAAAATTTCACATACAAATTCTAAATATTTTTATTTCGTACAAAAGTTGCAATATATTTTGTTTCTAGAGATTACAAAAAAACATAATTCAGTTCATATTAAAAGTTTCTTCTTGTAGAATGAATGGTACAGTCATATTTCTACTCGAGAAATATCAATATGAAAGGATAATTCACTGTCTAAAAAAGGAAATCTGAAATAATGGATCACAAGAATATTCTAAATAATGGGAGACCTCTAATTAACTTTACTGAGTGTTGAGTAATTTAAACTATATATTGGATGACTATTACTATCTTATATTACAAAGGGGATTTTAATATACCCAGAGTTGTTCACCCCTTTCTTTCTATCAAATAGCATGTTAATACAGGCGATGATCGACTATTTTTTATAATGTATTCTTTGTATTAATAATAACGAACGTTTTCTCCAAGCCAATTGATCCGTTAGTGAGAGTGTGAACTGTATATTATTCAGATTACTTTCTAAAAACTAATATTTGGTAAAATTAGCGCATTTCAAATGGTTTTTGTCATTTAGAAAGATGTCCTTTATATACAGAGTCGAAAAAATTGATTAATGGATTTCTTAAAAGATAAATTAAAGTTGTGGATTTAATTGGAGGTTTTTTTTAAATTTAGTGTGGCTTGACCAAATCTTTGCAGATCGCTATGTTTTGCAGATCATAAAACAGTAATGATGATTGGTCACAAACTTTTTTGAAATAAACCTTAAAGATATAATATTTATTTATATGTATGTTTCCTTACTTTTTCTCTACGCTTTGATTGTTACTTGTATTTATTTATATATTAAATAACGATTCACATTGTTGCCTTTATAGCAAACTAAAAACTAAAAGTGTAAAATTAACAAGTATTAACTGTTTATCAATTTTTTTGTGTTCTTTAAAATTTATTATAGCGATTTTCAAATAATAAATAATGAAAATCATATACTAATCATCTACAAAAAAAAATGTGTTTTTTCAATTATAGGATAAAGATAAAAAGATTAATATATAATAATAAATCATCTACAATTAAATAAATAAATAATGAGCGATTCTTCTTCCGACCCTGAAACTCCAATCTCAAATGATTCTAATGGTCTTAATAAAGTAAAAAGTAACAAAGATGATAACGACGAAGCTTTAACTAATGAAATAAAATTGGAACCATCAACCATCACTGCAACAACACAAACTGCATCAACTACAATTACCACCACAAATAACACTACTGATGCTGATAACACTTCCATTAAATCACCCAACACAAAAGCATTAAAAAAGTATGTCAATCAAGAAAAATATTAATCTACGTTAATTTATCATGATTATCACTTGTTTGTTTATAATTTCTATTCTGCTCATTATACTCTTTTTTATTCATTATTTCTAGCGAATCATCTGAATGTGTTGTAAAAACAGAAGAAACATGGACTGATAATTCAACATATCCCTTTGGTCCTTATCCTCCAAAACCAGAAAAAGGTTATGAAGAACACACCTTGGATCCGGCCCTTTTTAATGATCCTTCAATGAAATTAAATCTTGCTGCTAAAAATACATCAGTAAACTATTTTGGTCAACCTCCAGTTGGTGTACCTCGTGAAATTAATTACACAATGACTCCTACACCACAAGAATATGCAACAATTGCTTTGAATGGTAATTTTTCTGTTATTCAAACTGCAAATAATAATAGCATGCCAAATAAACAAAAAACTCCTTCAAGACAATCATCTGCTCCTCAAGATATGATGTCTACTTTTAATTCAAGAACTGTTCAATCAACTCCTAAAAGATATAAATGTGAAATTTGTCAAAAAAGATTTACAAGACCAAGTTCTCTGCAAACACATATGTATAGTCATACAGGTGAAAAACGTAAGCATTCTAAATTAATTGATTGATTTAATTAATTTACTGTAATTTGGATTATTTTTTATTAATTAATTTCATTTGTTTCTTTTAGCATTTAAATGTCCAGTAGAAGAGTGTGGACGTCACTTTTCAGTCGTTAGTAATCTTCGCCGTCACCAAAAAATTCATTCAAACAAGGCAACATCTAACCCAACACCTAATGTGACTGATGCGACACCTTCCACAACTTGAAAAAAAAATTTCCTCTTTTTATATAATAAAAATTTTTATAGTTCTTACAGATTTTGGGCTTGTGTCTTTTTTTGAAATCACAATTTTTTAACATACAAACATGATGGATTACTTAAAGTAATATTTTTGAATAGATGAGGATTTTTAATTAATGAAAAAAATCATCAGGAATCAAACATCAATTAAATTTTCTTAATATTAACTTTATTTCATTATTATTATTATTTTAAATAAATAAATTGAAGATCGGCAAAGAATCTTCTTTTTTAGATCCTGTGACCGCTACTTTATTTAAATTTTAAAAATGAAGACTTACTCTCTATTGAATTACATTATGGAATCCATGTAAAAGATTGATGGTGGGAAACATCCAAAACAATAAAATGATTGTGATTCTTGTTTTATCATCCTACTTGTGTTGGAATGGTGAAAATTTATTTTATGTAACAGAATTGGTAATTTTATACCAGGATATGTGAAGAATATACAATCCCACTATATCTTTTCTAATTCATATCGAAACTTCAACACGAGCTTCTAGAACTGAGACTTTGGATTTTAAGACAAAAAAATTTGTGTTTAAGAATTGTTATTAAATATAAAAAATGTTTATGGCATAGTGACTCACAAAAATATAAAATTTCAATAGAATCAACAGAATTAGATACATAAGCATGTATTCCCACTTTCCAATTACTAATTGCTCATCAATAATGAATAACAAATATCCATTTTCTACCAGTGGATGAATTGAAATGACATTAACAACTCCAATATCATTAACTACAACAAAATAAATAAATAATAATTATGAAAAAAAAAATAAATTAAATTCTGTGGAATAGAAATAACATCTGCTATCCTTCTTCTTCCAGTAAATCATGGTGAGCAATCCTGGTTGAACCAATATCATTAAAATAATGTCTTGATCAGGGGGTAAAAACTTAATTTAGTAATAATTGTCTTGACTAAATAGCTTAGTCAGCTTAGCCAAGTGCTCATTTGAGTTACGCGGCCAGCCCTGGTCTTGATCAAAAAAAGATTTTATACTTGATTGTTTGTCAGAAGTAACACCACATTTAAATTCCTTACTCTCTGTCCAAATTTAACTCTGACTTGCCACAAATACATCAAACTAATTTAGGATTAATTTCCTCAAGGAAATATTTATTTTTAACTTTTTTATTTATTTAGGAGTTTATATTAATCTCAATTTCATTTTTGTCTCCACTTTTATCCTCATTTTCAAGATGACCATAAATGTCTTGATTTACAAAAAATTATTTAATAGTATAAGAATTTAACTTTGAATTTTTTCATATTGATTTACCAAAAGAGTAACATATCTATCTACACTCAATGGACAAAAGTTTGTATCCAAAAATTTATTTTGCATTTTTACAAAATCCTACTAAATAAATAATTGTGATCTTCACACCATTTTAAAGTTATGGTTCTTGAAAAAGTTTTTTATTATTGTTAATTAAATCTTTATTTATGAAGTTTTTGTTATGATAAAAATCAGCATTAAAATTACGAAATTGATGATCATTTTGGTTTTTTTTTTAAAAAAAATGGGAACAAATTGTAGCTGAATGCTCGCAAATTATTGGTCTTTTCAACTAGATATTAAAATAGTAAGAAATAATATTAATATTTTTTAAAATTGATCATCCATTTTATATAATTTTTAAAGTTAAATTTATTTTTAATTTTTTCATAATAAAAATTTCGCAAAATAAAAATTTGTTATTAATAAAAAACTTTCTCAAGAACCCAGAACTTTGAAATGATGTATAGAAACACAAATATTTATTTAATATAATTTTGAGAAAATCTCAGAATAATTTTTGAGTACAAACTTTTGTCCATTGAGTGTATCTCTGGAAACCCTATGTAGATCCTTATTAAAACATATAAAAAATTTGAAGTTTTCAAGTTTTTTAATTAACAATCATGTTGAACCTTTTTCAATTCTACTTTAAAAAAAGAAAAAAGAAACTAAAATTTTAATTATTTTAAAATATAAAGCTTTTTTACATAATAAAAAAAAAATTTTTTTTACATGATGTTTTACACCCAGAAATTAATCCGACGCAAATTTGTATAAAGCTTAAGTCTTTATTTATAACTTATGATCATAAAGGTATAAATTACATTTGATTAATTAATATTAATATCTTAAAAAACTTATGAGAAGAAAATTTCAAATTTTTTATATGTTTTAATAAGGATCTACACAGGGTGGCCGAGTGTAGCTTTTTATGGTGATGCATCCTTTTGTTTTCTTTTTTTCCCCATGCCGTTAGGTAATCCAGGTGGTCGTCCACGTTTAAGTTGTTTTTGTTCACGTTCGCAAGTGAGGCCCTTTTTCTCACAATTTTTACATGAAGGTTGGTTATCATCACACTTGATATGCTTTTTTCGACAATGATTACAAGCGATTCTGACGTTTTTACCGCGAAATGAATTAACTGCCATTAACTATCAGTAGAGATGAAGAAGAAGGGACAAGCATCAGAAACTGATGATTAATTGGTTTATAATGATGTTGCGATACTTACTTTATAGATGTTCTGATGTATATAGAAAAAGAATCACTTTGGATTCTTCGTTTAAAAAAATTAATTTGAGATAAATCTATTTTCCCGGAAGTATTTTTGAATCGAGGATCCTTACAACGATCTATTCCAATAATTACAGAAATCAACAGTTCGATTATTGATTAATTAATAGCTTTTCCAATTAACAAGATAATTATTACAACAATTTTTTAATGTTATAGTTACTAGTAAAATGTCTTTAAATACTTGATTAATGTTATAATTACTACTGGAAGCCTTTAAATACTTTTTTAATGTTTCACCAAAGTAGAAAGGTTTCAACCATTTTCATCTTTAAAACAAGAATTTAGAACTTTCGATATCATCAAGAAAGAAAGTTATAAAATGAAATGTATAAAAAGATAACGGGGCTTGATGCCCTTTTAAATTGTTATTCTCTTTAGAAAGTTGTAAAAAGTGCTACATAGCAATAAATGAAATTATATAAACAGATGCCAAGTAATAAAGTATTTTAATTAGTGATAGAGGCAAAACTAGAGGTATTTCCCATTTTAAAGAAAGAATTTAAATGAAATATACAAATAAAGAAATGAGTCAAGGGAAATCTTTTGTGTAATGTTATATATTATAATTACCATAAAAATTCTTTTAAGTAACGTAATAATAATATAGAATGCCCCCACATAACATTAATTACAAATGGGTTGCAAAAAGAGAACGGAGTTTTTATTGTTGTTTCCAAAAGGAACGGACGGAATCAATATTATAATTATAATTAGAAATGTTTGTCATTCTAAATGAATGTGTTGTGAATTTATAAATTTTTCTATTTTTGTAATCATAACTCAAAAAACCTCCACCACATATAGTACTACTATTATTTTTAAATCGTTGGAATGTTTTTGAAAAATAAACATCTTTAGAAAAAAATAAAGTTATTTCCGATGCTATTATGTGAAACCCGAGCTTGATTTACGGTGAATGACAGCTATAGAATTTAAAAATTTAATACAAAATTATATTTATTAAGATAATTACATGTCAACGAAAGGAAGAAAAAACAAACAAATTATTGTAATAATTAATAATAATAATTCAATGCTTAATTAGACAAATCAGATTGATGCTAAATATTCGTTAATTCATCAATTATTTATTTTCTCTTATCTTCTTTAACAGTGTTTACTATTTGTAGATGTACTCTTTGCATATATTGCTATTGTATCATCAGAAGATAAGGAATCGAAATCAAAAGAGATGATTATTATTAATTCCGTAGCTACCATAACAAACACCAATACCACCGCTATCATTGGTTTGTTTGATTGGTCCTTTCGTGGTAATGTTTATTTTGGCCGTTAATAGTATCTGATAGTTGCCGATGTAAAATTGATGGTTGCCGATGTAAACCTGATGGTTGTCGATGTAAAACTGATGGTTGCCGATGTAAAACTGATGGTTGCCGATGTAAAACTGATGGTTGCCGAAACAAAACTGATGGTTGCTGAAATAAAACTGATGGTTTAATACAATCATGTTCGGTATTATTATGAATTACAGGGATGTGGCATCTCCCCCCATCTTCGCTATTACTCTTGGTAGTTTGTAGATGCCGTTTCATTTATCTTATTTTTTTATAAACAAGCGTGATTTGTAATGACGATGCAATGCTTGACAGTTATTTTATGATGATAAAGATGTTTCTGGTGATTATGTATATAGAACCGTTTATCAACTAATATTCAGTTTCTTTAACAAAATTGAAAATTAACAGTTCGCTAATTAATTAAATAAATTAATATGGATAGCTTTGCTAACTAGCGATGGTTTTATAATATTATATGATTGTTTTACTGCAATGTTGTTATTAGCAGGTTACCATTCAGAAAAGAGTTATTAGAGGGAATTTAAGGTGTTTAAATACTTCTTATGTTTCACTAAAATTGTGAGATAAAACGCGGAATTTTAACTTGTGTAACACTAAAAAATAATTCCGTGTTGTATATACGACATTTTAGATATTTTATAAATTCCTTCGACAAATGAATACTCTCTTTTAGCTTTAAATTATTCCAAATAATCTCTCAATTGACACCGTCATTATAATGCACACCATAAAAAAATTTACAATCTAAAACCATGTATGGAAATTGCAAAAACAACATTATTTTTGCATCACCAAAACAATAATGATAACGATAATCAAGTTTTTTAATAAAAGAAAGTCATTAAGCGGTTGGCTGTCAAATTATATACATAGCCTTCCCGAGACTATCACTCTCTAATATGAAAATGATCTTTGAGGCCAACTTATTGATCTATAATAATAATAATAAATAAAAATTTATGATCCCCTCAAGATCTACAAAAGTCGTTACTATTTTGGAAAATTCCAAAAAATAATTGGTCTTAAAAAAATCAATTATTCTATATAGTTGTCTACGGTGGAATTTTTTAAATATGTAAGTTCAGTGACCCCTATAATTCTGGCTAATTTTGCTTGATTCCAGCCCAAATTATGGATTAAAATGACAAAATATTAAAAATGGTCGGAATTAAAAAAAGAATTCAGTTCTTAAAAGAAAAATGTGGCATAGTTTTGTCTCGTGCAATCTGCAGATCTATAAAGGAAATTTTGAAAAAAGTGATGTATTATTATTACAATTTCTAAGTCGAGGACCTGAAAAATATTGATCTAATAAAAGCAATCATCAAAATCTGGTAAATTACAAAAAAAAAGCGACTATTACTATTTATTGGCTGGGTTGGTTGACCAACCTAGGCTCAGGATTGATTATTCATTATTTTAAAAAATTTATATGTATATGTATAGATATGTTTGCGCGATTTTTTAATAGATAGGAAGCCATATCATGGCTTTGTCACAAATGTCTTTGTAATACCAAATTTGAAAGGAAGGAAAATCATTTGCTAAAAATCCATCATAATGACCTTCATTATATATACTTCTGATAGGATGGAAAAATTGACATGCAATTCAAGTTTGATGAACATCCTGCGGCTGCAGATTTTGAAAAGAAAATGCGAAAATGAATTTTCCCAAAACTTGGTAACTGGTAAAAATATTAATGATCAATTTATGTTGCGTTCTCATATCCAATGAATGCATTCAAGAATTATTGTTAATAATAAGTTTATTTATTTGGCTATTATTTAGTAACACAAAACATCCAATTAAATTTGGAGATGGGAAAATATTAGATTTTGCCTGTTTTCTTATTTGCAAATAGGGTTGTTAACGGTCCGGTATGGTCCAAAGACCGTCGTCTAATTAAAGGACTGGACCGTTGGTCCGGTCCGAGACCGCGGTCCAGACTTAGGGTTTCTATCCGAATAAATCAAAATGAAACGAATGGAACAAATAAACGAATGGAACGAATGACTCGAATGAAATAATTAAATGTATAAAGCGAATAAACGAATAAACGAATGAATGAATAATAATAAATGAAAGAATTAAGTAATTAATAAAATAGATAAAATGAATAAATCAAGTAATTCAAATAAAACAAATGATTCGAATAAATCAGGTAATTCGAATAAAACAAATGATTCGAATAAATCAGGTAATTCGAATAACATAAATAAAATGAATAAATCAAGTAATTCGAATAATAATAAGTAAATGATTCGAATATTTCGAAGAATTTGTACCAGAAGGAATGGGCATTCATAGAAACAATGAGTGAATTTTGATTTATATAAAACTGTATATACTGCATATACTGTATATATATATATATTTTTTTTTGATATAATAATATTTCTAACAAATAAAATTGGAATAAATGCTTTTATGATTAAAAAAATTCAACAGTCAAAACCGCTGTCATTAGTCTGGACTGGACCGTTAACATCCATCCCTATTTGCAAATTTTGTGATTATTTAAAATATTCAATTTGTAAAGGAAGCTTCTGAGGTTAAAAATGTCAAAACTGATAAAGTGCATGATGATGAATCGGAAGAAGTAAAGAAGTTATATGAAGAATTGGAGGAGGGGAAGAATTAGCAGAGGATCCCAATGAAAATCCCTCTCTCCATAGGCATATTTCATCGGTACAATTTCCCAATTTAAATAATGGCCAATATCAATATAAATAATTTGTAAATATCTTTTACATTAGCATATAAAATTATGATAATTGTTTATTATTTATATATATTATTTATTCTTTTAACATTTACGATTTATTTTATTTTAAATGTTAAATGCTGTCGTCTATCTAACTTTTCCTGCTAATGTTCAACTTCAATCACATACAAATATAATTTATTCAGAAGATGTATCTTAACTAATTATTGTGAGGTGGTGAGGGATGTGAATAAGATTTTCTGATGTCAGTCCTTGATGGACCTCTTCCTGGAATTCCGTTGAAATTGTTTGAAAGTCCGGTGCTAATTTTTCTGACGAGTTTGATATTGCTTTCCATATGATCCCTTATTCTAAACAAGGTTCCTATGAATCTTTGTAGTTCAATTTCCGATGTACTTTTATATGGAACTTCCAGATCACAATATTCTCTGACTCTGCCGAATGAATTGGATGGAAAATCAACAATGTATATTTTCATCCTTTCGCCTAGTAATTTTACGGTAAGTTAATATATGATATATAACAAAAGTTCCATAATCAATAAAAAAATATAAACTTCGGCTTACCACAACTTTGTAATAAAAATATTTGAATGTTGGAAATAGCTTTATATATTTCTTTGTAATTGTGTAAATAACTAATTTTATTTTCTAAGGGTGCAAACATATTGCCGAGTTGTAAACTATTGTCACGACACCTATATGACGTGAAAAGGTTGTAACCCTTGCAGCTAAATGCCGAATGGCCGTATGCCGTATGTGTCATATGTTGTGCCATATGCAAACATAACCGCTGTATGCTGTATGTTATGCCATGTGCCATATGTTGTGCCATATGCAAACGTAAATGCTGCTGTGCCATATGCCATACGTTATGCCAATATGCTGTATGAAAATAATTAACATAAAATTTTTATTTTTCAAATAAATATTAATCACATCATATATAGAAAAAAACAATCTTATTAATTATCTGCATTGTTATCATCATTTTCTAAAAAAGTATTTATTAATAATTCAGGATCATAGTCCAAATTATAAGAACTATTTATATTAGTATCATTTTCATTTACTTCATTATTATTATTAAAAAATTTAAAATCAATAATGTCTCCAATTATTAAGGTGTTTCTTGTCTGAATTGAATTATCATTTGAATTAACATTATTTAAATATCCATTTTTCTGATTCTTACTCATTAAAGTACCAACTGATGAATCATTTGCTACATTTCTTAATTCATTGCTAGTTGATGTTTTTATTTGTTTTTCGTTTTTTTATAGGTGAACAAGGAGGTTGGGGAGGAGTATACTTGCCGCCCAAAGTATTGCCAAGTCCCAAATCCCAAAGCTGTCCCAAATCCCAAAAATGTCCCAAGATTTATTATCTATTTTTGTGAGCCCAAAGATCTGGGTAGACACACATTATCACAAAGTTTTATGCGAAATGGGCATTGTTTCTAAGCCAAAAATTATAAGGATGGCATCAACTCAAAATCACATTTTCGGAAGTATGGTTCGCTTTCATTCAAAAGCCTTCATTTAGAAATAAGATTTATAAACGAAAAACAAAGAATAAATTTGCATAGCTTTTTTTATTATATTTAGATGGTTCACAGATATGTACATACTCATGTAGATATTCATCGCCATTCTCTCAAAATCCAGTTTCATAAGGAAATTTATTCTCGCGTCATACTTACAGAATCGTTGGTCTCTATCTCCTTATTATGGATGCCAATATGTATGTATTTATTTATTTTCTCCATTAACTTCATCCTATGGTTTTAATAATAAATAATGAATTGCTTTGTTAGCAAATAATAAAAATCGGATTATTCCATATCACACGAACGTTTAATGAATTGAAGATAATTGTTACCTTTTCATTCTCAAGTAATGAATTCATGACTGACCCTCCCAAGCAAATAGCTTCAGACATCACCACCATTAATTTTTATAAAGAACTATAGTTGCGGTTGTGTCTGAAATCTACTAGTCATGGCCAAACTCTAGTTCACAACCAATTCTATTTGGTTTCATGTACATACACAAAGTAAAAAGTAATAATTTTCCTGGGAATTCATGAACAGAACCAATTTAAAAGAATTGAATCGCCCAAGTAATAATGATACTAAGATCATTCACAAATGAAAGTTTAAGGGTCGATCCACATAATATCCTGACAAGTAAAAGATGAGAAAGTTTTGCAGGGTTGGAAAATAACCGTTGATAATTTTGATTACGGAAAACGCCGAGAGGACAAAAGCCAAGATATTGCCCACTTACGTGTCATCCAAGCCGTAGCGGAAAAGTTGAGCCACTGATTGGATTGTTGGGTTGTATATAAAATAAAATGAACAATACTAAATCCAACATATTAAGCTTAGTGTTAGATTTAATAAAAATATTCACCTTTACAAAAAAACAAGTTGCGTTACAAAAGTGTAAGCGCTGTATAAAATAGGCGGGCATCGGAGGCTTCTTACAAAGAGAGCTTTTAAAGTCAGTAGTCTCTTTGACAATGATGCAATTTTCAACTAAAATTCAGAGCCACAACCCTCCTCCAATGAATTATGAATTAAATTGCATCATCCTATCTTAGGAAGGTAATAATCAGAGTAACCTTTGACACTAATACTAAGGAGTATTTTAAATATTTTAAGCCCGAAATAATCTCCAACATTGTTTTTGGTGATTTCCGAATTGTTTAAAGTAGTTTTATGGTGATGGAGATTGTTTAATAGACATCAAAAAAGATCGGAAATTTTCTCCCCAGTTCAACTACCCATGTCATAATTCTATGCCATACAAATCTTTTTTCAAAATTATTTAGTAGAAACCAAAAATTTGAGTCCCATATTTTTTTTGAATTGAGTAAATAAATACAAGCTAACAATAATTGATGGCTTATAAAGTAATTATAAAATTTCAGTTATTACGCAAGCATTCAGCTCATTTTTGCAAAGTATGTCATCGTGTAAAAATAATTAATGGTTAAATATGAAACTTGCCGTACATTTATTATTATTATTATTATTATTATTATTATTATTATTATTATTATTATATATTGGGCCGGAAAATAGAACCTGCCGTTAATATTAACAAAATAAAGGATTAAATATTTTAATAAATATTTCCTAATTAATTACATATTTATAAATACTTTGTATTGACATTGAAATTAATATTAATAATGCAATAAATTTTTAGATTTTTTGCCATTATTGTTATAATTAGTGCAATAAGTGGAATTATCAGGGGAAACCGTATTGCCTCCTTTCTTCCACAAAGGTTCTCGGCTATTACGCTTCGGTTTACAAGCGGTTATGGCGCTTTTCTTTCCACATATATTTAATGGATTAATCATTTTATCTTATTTTTATAAACAAGCGTGTTGGTATGATGTTGCAATACTAAAGATGTTCCTGATGATTATATATATAGAACCATTTATCAATTAATATTTACTTAAAAAAAAAAATAATTTGAAATTTTTTCATAAACTCACTTGAACTATTTCCTTGGGATATTGTTGGATCGTGACCTTGCAACGTTTGATTTCAGTGGAATAATTATGACACAGTCTTGAGATCAATAAATAAGGATAGCCTTTCCAATTAACAATAACAACTTTTATTATATGATTGTTTTATTAGTATGAAAAATTACTGTTCAGAAGAGAAATCAAGTCGTTTAAGTACTTCTTATTGTTTCACCAAATTTATAAATGATAAAGGTAAAACTCGAGATAGGAAAAAAAAAAAAATGGAAAAATTATGGCAGAATTTACAATTCCGTGTTGATCAAAATTGAAAAACACAAAAAGTTTCCTTTTTGATACTACATTATAATTAATATTAGTGTTAATGTTTGTGTAAAGGATTTGAACAACCAACTGACCGCCTATTTAAAAAAGAAATCTCTCTTTAACAAATCTAATGCTCAATTTGTCAGTAAAAACAAAGTTTTCTCCAATGCTACACCGTATAAATATGATTCACAGCAATGGCACTTTGCCCCATTTATCAGTTATAGATTTGGTAAAGTTACTCAATCCAGGATTATATATATTGGGATAAGGAAAGAAACAAAGACTTTTCTTTTATAACAACACAAATTATTGTAATAATAACTCAATACTTAATTAAATGGTTAATTGACCGGTTAAAGGAAGCATCTATCTCAATTTTTATATAAATTCTTCAATATAAAGCAATTTCAGATTGGTTCTGATGTTTTTAAAAGATTCGTTGATTCATTAATTAATTCACACGTCCATTCACCAACTATTGATTTATTTATTTTCCTTTAACAGTATATTTGCTTATTTTATTATTTGCAAATGTACAGCTTTTTTGCAGATATTATCTTGTCAATATTAATAAAAGTAACGATGGAAATAGAAATAATAATTACATACACTTTTTCGTTTTTTTTCCTCGTATATAATAATGATGATGATGATAACCATTATGAATTACTACATAATATCATAACACATCTGTCAATAGGAGGATTAATCCTTTAGCCATACAATTCTTTTTACGTTTTATCCAGAACTTTGAATTTTCTTCTAAAACAATTTTTGCTTGCTTCCTTATAGTGTTGGTTTCTAAAACTAGAGAGTTTCGCAACCATGCGAAAGTCGATACTAGTTTTGATTTTTGACTATTGACTTTTGATTTTAGTTTTGACATATAACTTTTAATTTTAGTTTTGACCTTCACCTCTTCAAAATAGTTTTGGTGGCCAACACTACTTCCTTATCATTACTAGTTTCCATTTTTTCCTTTTCCATTTACACTAAAATATGTGAGCTGACGACTGATCAATTCCTTTTATATCTGGTCAATTAATCAATGACGCGTTTTGGTATCTAGTGCTAGCATTATCATTTCCACAATTATTATTAATCGTCCTAATTAATAACTTGGTATGTAGATCAATATTGCAGTGACACGACGAAATTTAAATTAAAAGAAGTCAAATTTTTATATCATAATGGACAGATTTAAATATGAGGTTAGTATAAACATTTCAAATATTTAAAATTTGTACACTACTCAAAAAAGTTTAACGTTATTTCGAAGTGATATTTTGAGGAAGTGTACTTTATAAAATTGTGAATCTGAAGGAAACAAGTTTAGATGAATTTATTATTATAAATAAAATAGATTTTTATCATTATTATTATTATTAATTACATCGTCCGAATATGATATATTTATTGTTACTAGCAAGCAGTTAAAGTGATCGAAGGATGGAATAAGCCAGAACTACAAGATTGTATAAAAGAAATTAATGCATCGCTTAATCAAAATGCAAAACTCAAAACAAAAGGAACTAAGCAACAATTAATTAGCACTCTTTTCAATCAATTACAAATAACATCAAAGGATATTAAAAAAAGAAATCAACTCCTTGACTGTATTTTACTAACTTTCAATCGTCATAACGTTAATAATAATAATAATAATAATAATCATAATAATCATAATAATAATAATCATAATAATAATAATCATAATAATAATAATCATAATAATCATAATAATAAAATAAATAACATCAATAATAAGATTAATAACATTATTAATCATGACAACATTATTAATAATTATATGAATAGTAATAACAACATTAATAATAACGTCAATAATAACAATAGTAATAGCAACCGTAATAATGCTAATATTATGAATAACAGGTAAATAATACTATTATTATGTTATTATCATTATTATTAAATAATTATATTGAAGGATTATATTAATATTTATTTATGTTCTTTATAGTTTTAGAAATGGTTTGGCATTGACAGGTAGTTATTTATCTCTTAATCGGGTATTAAGGATACTTCTAACAATAATTTTAATTATTATTATCAACAAATTTTTAATTATTACTTTAATAGGTTCCAATCCAAATATTAATATCCAATTTAAATCATCTCCATTTATTATTAATTTTGAACAATTAGGGCAGGCAAAAATTTGCAATGGTAATAATTTATTTTAATATTAATTATTCAATAATGTATTTATATATATATATATATATATATATACATATGTATGTTTTTACGTGTGTAATAATAATAGCTACATCAGGAAAAAAAAGTGTTAATTATTTGAATTTTCGTCTTAATTCGGAGCAAATCGAAAAGTTGAAAAGGTAAAATAATAATCAAAATAAAATGTAAATAATAATGGTAATTTAATAGCATTTATAATTATTAATTCACCAATATATTAATTTCTTACTACAAAGACCAAATGAAATTTATCAAATACGATTATTTTGTTCAGATGGAAAAAATCAACAAGAAGCATTGGTTGAATTTCCAAATATTTGTCTGATCAGAGTCAACAAAACCAATATTGAAACTGTAAATGTTATCATTATTGTCATTCTCTCATATATCAATTGATTTTTTTAATTTACTTATTTGTTTTTTTTTTAATTCATATTTGTAGAATTTAAAAGGGATAAAGAACAGACCTGGTACAGTTCATCCTCAAGATATCACTAAATTTTGCAGATTAGATATATCTTATGAAAACAAGATTGAATTTTATTATGAAAATACTTCAAAAGTAAAATCACACACTTATTAAAAAGATCATTATATCATTTATTGTTCCATCATCATCATAATAATAATAATAATCTTTTTTAGAAATACATACTTGTGTTAAACTTAGTAAAAAGGGTGCCAGTGGAAGGGATTGTTGATACAATTAAAAATGGCAAATATATCTCAAAAGAAAATGTTCTAAAGAAAAGTAAAAGAATTAATTTTATATTAAAATTTTTTTACTATATATACAACATACATACACATGTATATTTAACTTTAATAATAATTTTTATAGTTAAACAATCACTGCAAGATTCTGAAGTTGTTGCAACCTCTAGTGTAATTTCATTAAAAGACACGGTAATATAACAACTCATAATTTAATATTAATATTACTATAGTCAAGATTTAACAATATTCTATAATATTTATGATTAGTTGTCACATTGTAGAATTACTTTACCATGTAGATCAAACCAGTGTAATCATGTTCAATGTTTTGATGCTTACTCATTCTTTAAGATGAATGAACAGGTTCCTACTTGGACATGTCCAATATGTTATAGAATACTTGATTCATGGGAAGATATTGTAGTTGATGGGCAAGTAAATGATACTAATTTCAATGTTTAATAATAATAATTATTTCTTTTTTTTAATTTTATTATTATTATTATTCTGTATACAAACAGTTTTTTTAATGATATATTAGCAAATACCCCTGTAGAACAGGAATCTGTTACTATTGAAGCTGATGGAAGTTGGATAAAATCAAAAAGATCTCATAAAAATGATGCTTCACTTGCTATGGTTTCTCCAGTTAAAAAAACAAAACTTAACCAATCACGTAAACAAGTTTATGCAATCGATTCATCTGATAGTGAAAATGATTCATCTGATATGGATTTGGAATCAACTGATTCATCTAATAATAACAAAATATTAAATAATTCAAATGTATCAACTGGTCCAGTTTTCATTGACCTTACACAAAGCAGTGATGAAGAAACTGACGATAAGATGACTAGAACAAATGTACATAACTACAATAATAATAATAACAATGGAAATGTTAATAGAGATATCAGCATTAACAGTAATGAAAATAATGATGCCAATGTATTTAATATAGAATTGTTCAAGAAACATGTACTTTTAAATGCTCCCCCAAAATCTAACTCAAAAACAATTGCTAAACTATTTAATACAACAACAGCAGCAACTAAGTTAGAATTACCATTACCACCCCTACCCAGCATGTTGGCACCTGCCATTGCCACCTCCTATAATAATTATAATAGTGTTAATAATACCATTACAACATCAGCTGTTACTCCAATTAAAGCTTCTAACACAATCATTCCACATAACAATCATGAGCCAATTAATGGCCTAAAACAACAGCAACGACAACATCATCATCATCAACAACAACAACATCATCATCAACAACAACAACAACAACAACAACATCATCATCATCATCATCAACAACAACAACAACAACAACAACAACAACAACAGCAGCAGCAGCAACAGCAACAACAGCAGCAGCAGCAGCAACGAAAACAGCAGCAGCAGCAACAACAACAACAGCAGCAGCAGCAGCAGCAGCAACAGCAACGACAAAATTATCAAGGTTATCAAAATAATTATAATTCAATGTATAATCCAAATTTGCAACCATATATTCGTAATGATCCTAACAATTTTCCTCATCATTTATTTGAAAACAATGAAAATTTATACAATTTTGATCGAATACAATGAACTTTATAAGTAATATATATATATATATATAATAATAATAATCTCTGTATATGACTAAGGGTTTATAATAAATAAATATAATATCTAAATTAGGTGAAAACATGGATACAATTCAATAATAACAACTTATCATGTTTTAATTACTCAAATTTGAATTTTCTTTTTTCTTCATTTAAAAAGATAAAGATATTCACAACACTTTTTCCTTTTTAAATATCTCTAAATGTTACTGCAATCCAAAAAGCATCATTGCTATTACTACAAGTACACATACATTGCTCATGATACAAGTTAAGATCCTTGTTTCTATATAAAGATTTCAAAGGTGATGAATGAGCAAGTAAGTATATTGTGATCTATTTACCAATTAGTAATTAATTATTAAAAATTTACCAATAATAACTTATCGTTGATATCAGATATTAATATATGTTGTCCTGGTATTTAATTATTGAGATCTTACCAGTATTGTAAAAACAAATGTTTTAAACAAATTTTATTTTAAACATTAAAGGTGACTACAATTTTTACAATTTTTAAAGATTTCTTTTTAATTAGAAGAATTTCTTTGGTGACGATCATAAAAGCATATCTCTGATTCAGAATTAAAACTTAAATTAATGAAAGTAGAGATTTTAAGAAGCTGTAAAAATTTTAATGCGCCAAAATTTATAATTAATAATAGGAATTGTCACCCGACTCGTTGGTTAATGCGTCATTAAAATTTACATCATTATAAACGATGGATGACATAACTATTATTACATCAATAATTATAAATATTGTGTATAAAAAAATTTTTTTTTTAAATTGTCCCAGGCAGGAAAAATTTTTATTTATAAACTACAATTTTAAAATTTTTTTGATTTAAAAAATTTTAAGCAAAAATAAAAATGGGAGATAAAGATAAATCATTTCGAGAACGCGTTTCAGATATGTTTTATTTGAATCAAGGTGTGATGAATTTTTAGTAACATAAAAATAACATTATTATTATTATTATTATTATTATTATTATTATTATTATTATTATTATTAAATTTTTATTTAATCAAAATTTTAAATTCAGATGAGCAACCAAAAGGAAATGAAAATCAGCAATGGTCGAAAGAAACGAAAGTTGATAATGACATTAAATCAACCACTACTTTTAATAAAGAAGATGATCACGTTAGACGATTTGAAAATCCTTCTTATTTACATGGAGTCCAAGACTCTGTTATTGGATCAATTAAGGTTGGTTGGAATGATGATTAATTTGATTTGATTGGATGGATGGATATAGATTGATGGAAAATAAATAACTGCTAAAAAATTGATACTTTTTTGTTTTTTTTCTTATAGGAAGGTTTGGGAAAAATAGTTGGACATGAAGAATTGAAAGAAACTGGCATGCAACAACAACTACGTGGTAATCATGAAAGGATTAACGCCGCTATTAAGGATGATGACAAATACAACGAGACATATTTAATGGACTATTAAAAATTATTTTGGGTCATCCCTCATTTTTTTATTATGATTATGATTAAAAAATATGTATTAGTATTATCATTAAAAAAAAAACAATTATAAATTTTTTTTTTCTAAAAAAAAAAGTTGCTTTTTAAAAAATGTTGAGAAATATATTACTTAAAAATAAAGAAAATAGTCCAGAATTACTCTCAAGAGTAATTAGACTTCAAGTTGAATTAACAAAGCCTGATAACAATATATTTAGTTTTCCTGATTTATGCAAAGAAGCCGGTATAGAGCTTCCAAATCCACACTCAAGTCTTTATCCTTCAACTTCTGAAAGTGATTCGGAAAGTCTAGAGTTTTCTGATAATGAAACAAACGATAACAATAACGAGTCTTTTGAATCGCCACAAACTTCACCTTCCTCTTCTTCACCAAACCAACCACTACAACCGCCACCCGATTTTGATGACTCGGGAAATGATTTTTTTAAAAGAATATTAGAGAATTCAGAAAAATATGCAAATGAAGAAAATAATACTGTAAAAATATTTTTTTTCATAAATTTGAATTATTTCAAGCGTTTTCTTAACGATTTTATTATATTTAGGATGGTAAAAAGAAGAGAGCTAAAAGAGTGGAACGTTATGATATTTCGGATCCTTTCGTCGATGACAGTGATCTACCATCATTTCAAAGTGATAAAGATAAAATTCGTCCGAAAATTGATGGCTACTACGTTTGGAGAGGGCCGTTAGTATTGGAAAATTCGTATGTATATAATTAATTATCAAGTTATTTGTAAATTAATTAATTATATTGATGTATCATTTTTGATCCATTGATAATTAATTAATTAGGGATAAGCAAACTCCCAGAAAAAGAAAATATAATCGTAAGGCAAAAGTAACTAGTGACGAAGAAATAGCAAATGATGACGAGGAAATAGCAAATGATGATGAGCAAACTCACCAAAAAAGAAAATATAAACGTAAAGCCAAAGCAGGGAATGACGAGGGAATGGAAAACAGTGATAAGGAGAATCCAATAAAAAGAAGGCACAAGTGTAAAGCAAAAGCAAAGGATGACAAGAAAGTTGCAAATGGTGATGAAGGGATGGCAATGGGTAACAAGGAAAATCTAAGAAAAAGACAATATAAGCGTACAGCAAAATCAAATGATGACGATGATGGTGATGAGGAGGAGGAGGAGGAAGGTGATGAGGAGGAGGAGGAGGAAGAGGAGGAAGAGGAGAAAAAGGAGAATATGGCAAAAGGTGACGAGGAAAATCTAAAACCTCGTAAAAAATGGAACAAAAAATCTGATAAACCTGACATAAGTGGAAAAGTCAAGAAAACAAGGAGAAAAGCTCCTCCAAAGAATACAAGAACTCCTACTATAAAGAATCAAGATGTTTTTTCTTCTTCGCACACTAGTTTAAACAAGCAAAAATCACAGCAGCAGCAAAGAGTTTCCCTTGATTTAAACAATTCAATGCAAATCGACACTCAAGATGATAATAACCATAATCTTGTGGTAATAGAAAACGATTTCAATACAATATCAATCCTCCAAATAAATCAAACTAATATAAATTTCTTAATAATTAATTCTTGTAGGATCCACTTCATCCAGAACTACAAGAGTTTGTCTCTCTTTTTAAGAATGAAGTCTCAAAGGGTTAGTTATTAAATAAAAATTCATATTTGTGTTATACCATATTTTGTTATTGAGATTATTCCTAAAAAAAAAGTTATTATCATTAAATATTTCTAGAAAATTTTGGTGTTAGATCAAAATTTCCTCAAGTTCTCAACCCTAATTTGACTAGGTTACTTTGTAAAGCATATGAACTTGATGAATTTAACGACATCCTTTTTAATGTGTTGACAAATATCTTACCATATAATAAATTCACAGTAACAGTTAATAATAATTTTCTTTTACTATTATATTATTGTTATATTGCAATTATTATCGATTTATTAAATTGCTATTATATTTTTATTTAGCGACTTTGTTACAGAACAATTTATCCGAAAACAATATATGATTCAAAATTAAAAAAATCTGATTTGATTTCACAGTTGAAAAGTTCAGTTGACGAAATAATTCCTGATCTATTAAGTGAATATAATGATAAATTAGCAAGATTGGATCCTGTCTCCTCCCCATCGTTACCACCACCATCATCGTCGCCATCATCATTGAATAATACCGATACTGAAAATATAGGATGTGATAAAAAAACTTCAAAAAGTAAAAAACCCGATTCAATTTTACCAAAAAGATTTTGTTGGAATAATAGAACAAAATCATTATTGTATGAAATCATTCGAACAGAATTATCCATAGTTGAAATGACTAATCAACTTGCGTAAGTTTATTTAATTAATCATATAATATATAATATATTGCTTGCTTTATTATTTTTTTTTAAAAAATAGAGAGTCAGAAGAAAAACCAACAAGGCTTTCAGAACTAACTTGTAGAAAAAATTTATATCAACACGTAATTATATCTACTTGTCTATTGTTGTTCTTTATGATATTAGAATATTAAAATAAAAAACAAACTTTTTTTCTTTTAATTCATATTTAAATTATAGCTCTTGACAATTTGGCCTGATGGTTGGATGACAACTTATGAGATAGGAAGAGTACATAGTGGATATAAGAAGAAGCATCAATTATCATAAAACTATTATATACACAAAAGACACAAACTTTTTATTTTTTTTTTTTTTTGAGTGGGAAAAATGTGAATTAATTGACATTATCATCGTTTTAAATATTCACATTCTATTTACTACTATTAATCAAAAATTAGAATTTCAAAAATCATCAATTTATTTATAAAATTAATTATAGAGAGATTTCGTTCTGCCTTTGATTATAAAGTCGAAATTCAAGACATTTAGAAAAATAGATCATATTAATAGCTGCAGTGTAATGATACTCATATACTACTTGATTTTTAGACCGATTAGCAGTAATAATGTTATTATATTATTAAGACAAAAAATTTATTTACTAAAAAAATTCACTTCTATATAGCTCAAATTTTTTTTTTCATTAATAATGATGACCGTTTATAATTCTCATCAATTTACACCCTTTCTCATTGTCATCTACAAACAATAACTACAAGTCCTCCAAGTCCTCTAAATTTTGTTTGCCCCAAACCTTTTAAAACCTAAAAGTGACGTTGTTATTATTTTAATTTAGCAACAATAAACCCATTCTCAGGAACAAAGTCAAGAATATCATTTAACAAATCATCCTTGTTTTCTATATTTTTAATTCTTTTAGTGACTACTTCAATAAATGTTTCCGAGTCAACTCGAGATAACGTGTTTTGGTAATTTTCTGAGGTGATGAAAGATGACCAATCACTTTAAAAAAATAAAATTAATGATATTATTAAATTTCAACAGTATTCTCTAATTGATAGTGATGGTGATGATGACGATGATGGCGATGACGATGATGATGACGCAAGTTTAGATTGGTTACCTTGAACGATCAACTACGCGTTGATTTTTATTGATATTATGATTATTCTTATGATTATTATTGTCACTACTTGAATATATACATGTATGTTAATTTATTTAAGCTTGCTTACAAGAGTTTTTTTTTGATGTGCAGTACCTTATTTTGATCTTGTTTGTTGCGCTGGAAGTACCTGTACTAGTTTCATAAAGTTTGCGCTTGCCTTTATCAACCATTTTTTCGGTTATCTTGTTGTTTACTATATTATATGATAAATTTTTGTTGAATGTTGTTATAATTAAAGAAAATTTTCAATTTTTTACACGTATTTAAAAGCCAAAATGGTATGTAACACGAATTTTTATTATTAAAAGCTCAAATTTGTTGTTGTAAACTGTAGAGTGTTAAGAAATCAAGAGTTTTCTTTTTAATTAATATTCGGATAGATTACAATTCCATTTTTCCATGTCAAGATGAAATCATTTTGATCTAGATGTAAAAGTTACAGATTCAGAAGATAAAGGAATAACTTACCAGATGGTTCATTTAAAAGAACAATAAAATTTTTTAATAGCTTAATATTGACTAATTCAGCTTGTTAATAAAACTTTTTATTTATTTCTGATTAAATTGATTAATATTCAGTGAAAATCCGGTTTGGATATTAATATTATGATACTAATATCCTTTGAAAATTGATTTAATGACATCTTTCTCTACAAATTTCCATGCTTTTAAAAATTCCAAATCTCTCCATCCCCAGTTTATCAACATATTAACCTTATTTTCATCTTGTTCATCACGATAAATTTCAAATAATTCCCGAGTATTGTAATGCAGTTTTGAACGTAAATAAGGAAAAGGTAAAGATGATGAACGAATATATCGAAGTGTATGACGATATAAATGTAATGAATGTTTATATGGTGGTTTGATCATTGTTGTGTTGAATAATTGATTCCCACAAATTATGACGTGAATTCAGTGCACAAAGAGAGATTGTTAACCATATTAATATATGGTGCAAAGTCACCTAGTCCCACAACTTTCTGTGCCACCCGCCAATTTTTTGAGAACAAAAATTGTTTGGCAATTTTGTTAAAATGGAATTTAGATAAACTTTAAAACCTAAAGGCTCAATAACCAAACAAGCTCCGGGAATAACCTTTCCACAATTGTATTTCAAACACTAATTAATAACCGATCAGAGAGTTTTTTCATTTATTAATAAAAAATTTTTTGTAAAGGTTCAAAGTTGTCATTTTACTATAAACAATGGAAATTTAGATAAATTTCAAAATCCAAAGGCTCAATAACCAAACAAGCTGTGGGAATAACCTTTTCACAATTGTATTTCCAAACACACGGTTAATAACCGATCAAAGAGTTTTTTTTCATTTATATTAGTAAAAAAATTTTTTGTGAAGGTTCAAAGTTATCGATTTTGTTGATTTTACTATTAACGATGGAAATTTAGATAAACTTTAAAACGTAAAGGCTCAAAAACTAAACAAATTGTGGGAATAATATTTCCGCAATTTTGTTTCAAAACACTCAATTAATGACAGATCAGAGAGTTTTTTTCATTTATATTAGTAAAAAAAATTTTTGTGAAGGTTCAAATTTATCAAATTTATTGATTTTACTATTACTATAACTTTAAAACCTAAAGGCTCAGTAACCAAGCAAGCTATGTGAATAATCTTTCCGCAATTGTATTTAAAAACACTCAATTAATAGTCTGTCAAGGAGTTTTTTTAAAACAATCAATACCATGCAATAAAAAATTGTGTACCTCTCGCCACTAACAAATAACACCTTGTTTACTTTAGAAACAACCATACCAAACCGCAACACTCACATTCCTCATCTTGTAAAAAATTTAATTGTTGACGCGATTGAATGGACAAAAAAGCCAATATTGTACAATCCACACATAAATAAAAGATCCACACGGTATACAACAAGATAATAAAAAAAAAGATGATGAATCTCATTTAGCAATAAATGAAAAGTATTATTTATTAAAAAGAATGGTGGCGATAATTGTGATGCATTACAACTTGTCATCATTCTATATATAGAAAATTTACTAATCACTACTTCTTTCTACAAAGTATTCTTAACTAAAAAAAAAATTCACATATATATATATATAATTTAATTTAATTATACGTTTGATAATTGATTTGGTTTCTTCATATTTACTTTTTAGGAAGGCGAGATATCCAAAAAGACCGCTAAAAGAAAATGTATCTCCAAATGGAAATTATGACATCAATGATAATAATAGTGTGCAAGCGAAAGGAAAAAAGTCAATAATTTAATTTTAATTCCATGTTTGACTAATATAATAATCAGTGAAAACACTAAACCTTTTTTTTTTGTAAAAAACTAAACTAACATGATCGAGAAAATATTAATAAAAAATATTGTTTAATGAAGAAGGAGAGGATGTGGAAATTATTAGTAAATTATTATATCATCAAAAACAACATATGTATGAAAGATAAAATTGATATTAAACAAGTATGTAAAAAAATTCATGTTAAATTTTTCTCTGATATTAGCTTTAAAAAATATTTTTTCTTAATTTTTTTTAGTGTGATGATAACAATAATTATGATTTGACCAGTATATTATTTTTTAAAAATTTTCCATTAGATAAAACATCTGATGATATTTATAGTGGTTATACTCATTTGATGTGAATATTTATAATTAGTTAATAAGCATATTATTTGAGAGCAGAATAGCATAAATCACATTATTTGTACTGCCCCAAGGGGTATAAATATACTTGGTTTTAGACCAAGTTAATAACAATATTGTTGATAACATCTTGATAAAAATAACATAATAATAACTCTTAACACTCTAAATAAATATATAACCCTTACATAAAATATCTTTGACTATAATTAAATACTAAACCCAGTATGGCCAACCTTTAATTATTAGTTGGGAACCTTTAATTATTAAACATATTGCCAATGGGACACCTTTGGAATACATGGATACATCAACTTAGGGATCTTTTATCTAGACTTCGGGTTGTAAGATAAAAGAGTTATTGGCTGTAAATCAGTGGTTCTAGGAAAACCAGATGTGTGCCATTGGTAAGCTATCTAGACTAAGGATCATAAGATAGTGAGATCAACTGTAATTTGGAGGTTCTAGGAAAACCAGATGTGTATTGATATTTGGACTTGGGGTCAATAGGTATAATTATGGGCTGTAATTCAGGGGCAAAGTAAGACCAGCTGTGTGTCAAACACAAGAATTACCTGGTAAGTAAGTAACTTGGATCACATGCTTGCAGTATATATGGCTTCCAGTGTCTAGGTGTATGTAGAACAAAACTTTTTACATTACAAAATATTTTAAGTGATAGATGACATAATCTTTCAGAAAATTCATTTACATTATAACAAGATTATAAATTTTATTATAAAAATGATTTTTTAATAAATAATAAAGGGTGCATAATTTGCATAATCTACCAAGTGTTGCATGGATAATTTAATGTTTGTTGCCACATAAATCTGGGGTCTTTAGTAATATGCCAGAATGCAAAACTCATTATGTGTAAGCACATGAATTACCAATTGTTAATGTTTCCTATATTTCAAACTTCAGATATAGTATTTATTAATCTTTCATAATTTTAAATTAAAAATAATAAATAAATTAATTAACAATTTTGTTATTAGATGGATTGTCTTTTATATGAATCATATCTTCACGATTAACACCAACACCTATCCATTCAACTAAGAAAAAGCAAAAAGTTTTTGTTAAATTAACCATTTTAATGGATTTAATAATATAATATGAATTGGTTACCTGGTACTTCTAAATGTTTTTCAATAAATTTAATATATTTTTGTGCATTTGTTGGTAAATCAGTAAATTGACGACATTTGCTAATATCAGTTTTCCAACCTGGTAATGTTTCATATTTTACTTTAATCTTCTCAAGAACATTCAAGTCAGCTTTTTTAAAATGTAAAAGATATTATATATATATATATATATATGTAAATATATATAAAATTTACAACAAATGGATGAATTGAGATTCAATGCTATATGTATATTATTTACCAGGAAAACTTTCCAAAGATTCTCCATTTAAAGAATATTCAGTAGCAACTTGTATTTCTGAAAAATCATCAAGAACATCAAGCTTGGTTATATTTAAACTACAACAAAAATTTGGTGTAAAAATGAAGTTAGCAAAAAATTATATTAACATTAAATAAATAAATTAATAATAATAAATAAAATAAATAAATAATAATAGAATATTTAAGATTTATAGTTTTATGTTTGTTCAAGTATAATTACTAATTCAAGGAACAAATTTTTCCAAAAAATTTAATTTTAAAAAAAAAGCAAGCATTGATCACATTAATGTCCTACATAGTGCTCTGCTAACTTTCACCTTGTATAACCATTAAGAATTGTTGAATACTTAAGAACCACAAGATCTAACCAACCAACACGACGCTTCCTTCCAGTAGTAGTTCCATATTCTGCACCTACATTTTGAAGATGTTCAGCTGTTTCCTAATATTATTATCAAAAATAATAAAAAAACAAAATTCCATTAATAAACCAAATAAACTAATATATGGTCCAATAAAGATGGTTCTCAAATTTTGCCACACAAAGATTTGTGTTTTTATTAAAAATCATGATATATCAAAATTCAAGAACTATCTTTATTGGATCAGTCCCCCCTATATTAACAAAAAGATCAATAAATTATTTAATTAAAATAGTATATGTAATTTACATCAGTCAATTCAGTGGGAAATGGACCACCACCAACTCTAGTTGTGTAAGCTTTCACAACACCAATAATCTTATTGATCTTAGATGGAGGAATTCCCAAGCCTGTAATGACTCCACCAATAGTAGTGTTAGAACTTGTCACATAAGGATAAGTTCCAAAGTCAATGTCAAGCATTAAAGCATTAGCCCCTTCAACTAAGACTTTCTTTTTTGAACTTAGACATTTATGGATAAAAACTACACCATCTATAATATATGGTTTCAGTTGTTCAGTTAGTTCCTAAAAATATTCAAATGTTTTCAAATAACTCAGGTCACAATGATTATATTAATATATTATTATTATTATTATTAGAAAATAGGCTCTAAAAAAATTTATTTATACAAACCTTATAGCGTTTAATTTCTGCTTCAATATCATATTCAAAATCCCCATATCTTTTTCTTCTATTTATCACCAATCGACGAAATTTTTCTGCAAAAAAATCATGATCCAACAAATGATGAACTCGTAGACCAGAACGTGAGGCTTTGGTTGAATATGCAGGCCCTATTCCTTTCTTAGTTGTACCAATACTAATGAAAGCATTTCCCAATCAAAATTAATAATTAATTCATCCAGAAAAATGAGAGATATATTTTTGGATGTTATGAATAATAATACACCTTGAAATTCCAAGTTCAATTTCTTTTAAACCATCAACAATTTGATGAAAATCAAAAACTAGATGTGCACGATCAGATACAAAGAGACGACCACTAATATTGATTCCTAAAATATTGTATTATTTAAGTGATAAAAATATAATTCAATTTCTACTGATAAAATAAATAATAATATCATCATCATCAATATACCTTTTTCTTCCAATTTCCTTACTTCTTCAAAGAAAGATGGAAGATGAATAACAACACCAGATCCAATTAATGACACACACTTTGGATTAACCAAACCTTTGAAAGGGAATTTTTTTAATTAGTTAGCAGCAATGTCCAAACAAGATAATAAACATACATGATTTTTTTACCAGAAGGAAGCATATGGAAATCATATTTTGACCCATTGACAACAATTGTATGACCAGCATTATTTCCACCCTAATTACAATAATAATACCATTCAATATATATAAATATATATAAACATTATGGTAGACATGTATAACTATAACTCACAGCACAACGAGCACAAATGTCTGCTTCCTGTGCCAATATATCAACAAGTTTCCCTTTCCCCTCATCGCCCCATTGCGAGCCTAGAACAACAGTGAAACCTTCTTCTGAAAGGTTAGCAGTAGATAGCACACTCATAACAAAAGTAATTTAAAATTTTAAAAAACAATTGTAATTGGGAATTTTTAATTTTTTTTTTTTACGGGTTATATTTATTGATTTGATTGGAGGTAATATTTTCCTAACCTAGTATACCTAGTATAGAGTGATGGGCGTTTGACAATTTTTTTTCAAGATCAACATTATGGTGAAAATTTTCACAAATAAAGAGCCTTCAATATTGTGATTTTGACTGAGATTGATTAATGTTGAAAATGCAAATTTCAAGATAATTTTATAAAATGAATGGGATCCTTGTTACCAAAGCTAATAATAACTTGGACTTATTTTAAGTTATATATATGTATAAATAAGATTGGCGGAAATTTCTGGGAGGGTTTTCATTCTTGGCGACTCTTACCACGCCATCTCGGGGTGCACTAAACACTTGATCTCCTTTTTTAGTATTTTAATGTACTCAAGGTGGTAAGAGTTTTCTATTTTGGAGGTCTTTTCTAAACAATATCCAGCCAATCATCTTACCTCAACCTAGAGTGATTGGACTATCATAACATGTAGATCACATGTGAATCGTGTCACTGAAAAAATCCGCCCCGACTGTATTACGTCCCAAATTCAGGAAGCTCATTCTTGTTAAACCTGTCAATTTTAATTTTGGGGGATGATAGATCGACCATCTTGTTGATATTAAAAGTTTATTTTTATTTATTTGTTGTCGTCAAAAAATCTTTTTTTCATAACATTCCAATGAACTGTATAACAATTACTTGCACGAAGACTGCCCATTTCTTGTCTAATAACACTCCACTTTGCACCATGTTGTTCAATAAGTTGAATGAGATTTTCTTCCTCTTCTCTTGTCCAAGGAATAACATTATTTTTCTTGAATGATTTTTTATCATTTGAATAATTAATTGCAGATCTCTTTGATGATGGTGATAATGATAACGATTTTTTTTTAGATTTTCCTTTATCATTTTTACCTTTATAAATATTATGATTGAAAACATTATTGGATTGCTGATGATCATCAGTTTTAAAGATTGGTAGTGATTCGTCATCTCCTTCTTGTCTTTCTTCCTCCAAATCAATTATATATTTCTCCTCCTTTTCTTTCTTTATATAATTTTCCTCGGCTTCTTTCTTCACCTCATTCATTTTGACTTCTTCTTGTTCCACTTCCACCATCACATTGTCATCTTCTTTAAATTGTTTTCTTTTATTAGAAATATTATTCATTCCATATAAACCTTCCTTTAATTCAAAAAAAATTTGGTTTAATTTTTTGATTAAATCGATTAAATTGATTGGAAATTTAAATATTTACATTTTCTTCCTCTATCTTAATTATCGAATTCATTATCTCTAAATAAAATCTTGTTAAGAATAACAATAATAAAACTTTGTTTTTCCTTTATTACTTTATATATATAAATTAATAGTAAAACTACTATAAAATAACTATTTTTAATTTAAGAGGCTATGATTCAATTACTTCTTTTGCTGATGGATAGTTTGTTTGATTATTTTATCAATTAATTAAGATTGATATTATCTTTTAAGGACTAATTAAAATTGCTTGTTACATGGATTTTCTCCATTATCTATCTACAAAAAAAAATCAAAAAAATCCGTTTACTAAGAATTGAAGTAACAAACATATTATTAATTTTTATTTTAATTAATTATTATTTGTCATTATTTTTCTATTAGTGTTTTCTAAATTTATCCCATCGTTTATGTTAAATGCAAAATAAATAAAATGATCACTCGTCAATTGTTTAATGTTTCAAAAGTAAGTTATTTTTATTTATTTTCTTACTGTCAAAAAAAATTTTTTTATTTATTTATAAGTTTTATTGATTAAAACTTCTAGGTATTGTCTTTTTCACCCAAGAGCAAATTACAATGTCGTAGCTATGCTCAAGTTATTTCTAATGAAATTAGTAAAAAAAAAGTGGCAATGTCAAATTTTGAACCTAATAGATATATTAATTATCAAAGAATGCAGGATCATTTAGCCATTGTTAAAAACCGGTACATACTAAAAAAATTTCAATTAGTTAGCTAATTCCAATTTATAAATAATAACGACAACAACTATTATTATTATTACATAATATCGCATAGACTTAATCGACCATTGACACTTTCTGAAAAGGTTCTTTACGGTCATTTGGAAGATCCACAAAATCAAGAAATAATTAGGGGAGAAAGTTATCTTAGATTACGACCAGATCGAGTTGCATGCCAAGATGCTACAGCACAAACAGTTCTTCTTTCATTTATGTCGGCAGGTATTCCGGAAGTAGCAGTCCCAACAACCGTTCATTGTGACCATTTGATCGAAGCACAGGTGGGGAGTGAAAAGGATTTGGCAAAAGCAATAGAAGACAATTCAGAAGTTTTTGATTTTATGGCTACGGCTTCATCAAAATATAATGTTGGATTTTGGAAACCAGGCTCTGGTATCATTCATCAAATTATTTTAGAAAATTATGCTTTTCCTGGTGGTGTAATAATTGGTACAGATTCTCATACACCAAATGCTGGTGGCTTGGGTATGATAGCTATTGGAGTTGGCGGAGCAGATGCTGTTGATGTTATAGCAGATATTCCATGGGAATTGAGATGTCCAAATGTTATTGGTATTAAACTAACTGGTAAAATAGGTGGTTGGACAACTCCTAAAGGTAAACGATGGACTTAAATATATACATTTGTTTATTAGTACGTGTTACACTTTTAGATTTCTTTAATTTTGCTTTTTTTTTTTAAAATTAATTATTATTATCAGATGTTATACTTAAGATAGCTGGTCTTTTAGGCGTGAGAGGAGGTACAGGAGCAATTGTAGAATATTTTGGGCCGGGCATTGAATCATTATCTTGTACTGGAATGGCAACTATATGTAATATGGGAGCAGAAATTGGAGCCACAACGTCAATTTTTCCGTTTAATAGACGTATGAGCGAATATCTTTGTGCCACTAAACGTAGTGAAATTGCATCATACGCAGAATCATTTGCTCATAATTTACGTGCAGATGAGGGTGCCAAATATGATCAAGTTATAGAGCTAAATTTATCAGAATTAGAACCTCACATAAACGGTCCATTTACACCAGATCTTGCCACCCCGCTCAGTAAATTTAAGGATGAAGTAGAAAAGAATAATTGGCCATCAGAGTTAAGCGTCGGATTGATTGGATCATGTACAAATTCGTCATATGAAGATATGTCAAGAGCAGCATCAATTGCTAAACAAGCACTTGATCATGGAGTTAAAGCGAAATCAATCTTTACAATCACACCTGGATCTGAACAAATACGAGCCACGATTTCACGCGATGGACAAGAAGAAATATTCACAAAGGTAGGAGGTGTCGTGTTAGCAAATGCATGTGGACCATGTATTGGACAATGGAAGCGACAAGACATTAAGAAGAAAGGAGAAAAGAATTCTATAATCTCATCATATAATAGAAATTTTACAGGAAGGAATGATGCCAATCCAGCCACACATGCGTTTATCACCTCGCCAGATATCGTAACAGCAATGGTTTTTGCAGGAAATCTCAAGTTCAATCCTGCAAAAGATAGTTTGATTGATGGTGATGGCAAAGTTTTTAGATTTCATGAGCCAAATGGAAATGATTTACCGCCCGGTGGGTATGATCCAGGAGTGGACACATATCAAGCACCAGCAGCGGATCGTGAATCAGTTCAAGTGTTGATAGATCCTAATAGCAGGAGGATTCAATTATTACAACCATTTGCAAAATGGGATGGTAAGGATCCAGAAGAATTACCAATATTAATTAAAGTAAAAGGCAAATGTACAACGGATCATATTTCTATGGCAGGACCTTGGCTTAATCTTCGAGGTCATTTAGACAATATTTCTAACAATATGTTGATTGGAGCAGTTAATTCTGATAACAATAAAGTCAATTCAGTTAAAAATGTTTTTACTGGTGAATATGATGCTGTACCTAATGTAGCTAGATATTACAAATCCAAAGGTAATTTGTGTGTGCGTTAATACTTGTATGTATTTATATTAATTTCTATTTATTTTATATATTTTTTTTTTTTAGGGATTTCATGGATTGTAATTGGAGATGAGAATTATGGAGAAGGATCAGCAAGGGAACATGCAGCACTTGAAGTTCGATATTTGGGAGGGGTAGCAGTAGTAGTTAAATCGTTTGCCAGAATTCATGAAACCAATTTGAAGAGACAAGGAGTTTTACCACTTACGTTTTCAGATCCTTCAGATTATGATAAAATGGATCCAAGTGATAAAGTGTCAATTATAGGACTTACAGAACTCGCACCTAATAAACCTCTAACACTTAGAGTTTATAAAAAAAACAAATCAGAAGTAAATTTAACAGTTAATCATACATTTAATGAAAATCAAATTCAATGGTTCAAGGCAGGATCTGCTTTAAATCGTGTGGCAGAAACAAGAAAGGGCTTAAATTGAAAAAAAAAAAATAAAAAACAACAAATCTTAATTGGATAAGATAATCTATGAAAATCAAAAATTCTTTATACACGTGAAATTTAATTCTAGATAAAAAAAAAATAGGGAGTTTAAAAGAAAGAAATCTAACTAATCAAATTATATGTCCAAGCATAAAAAAATAACGGTTTATATTATATTTATAATAACAACACAGTATATGGTATATTAAACAAGGCATATATTGTGTATAATAAAAATAATTGGCTAGAATCATAAGATTATACATACATAAATAACAATCAATATATATATTAATGGAAATCAAATAATTTGTAAATGCATTACATGTGAATTATAATGGTATTTTGTATTATGGAAAAATTGTAAATATTTAAAAATTAAAGGAACAAAATGGATATTTTAAACTCGAGTGACAAAAGTGTATATTTTAAGAAATTTTCTATTTATGCATGTGGGTTTTTGATATCACATGTAAATATCAATAAAAGATCTCCAATAAAACAAACTATGCCCGTGTAACATTTCAAATAGTTTTATTAATATAAATAAATATATTTAAAGGAAAGAATTGTTTATTTTACCCCACCTACAAACCTCGTAATGAAATTTGATTCTTCATTCGGGAAAACCAAAATTTTTCATTCATATTATTAAAATGCATTCTCTCTCGTCCACAATTATATTTTAAAAAAAACTGCATAAATAAACAATTTGTTTGATTTGATAGATAATAATATATTTTATTAATAACGAAAAAAATTACCAATCAACGGTGAAGCCTTTTCATATGAGAAACTTTAAAAAAAAATAAAACTTGTTTATTTTGACTTTGATTTTTTTGAAATGTTTTCAGAGAATAATATCAGGTCAGTTATCAGGCCGTGAGAGTTCCTTATTGTTATTATTAGTAACGTACGATTGGTTATAAAGTCGTATGATTTTTTTTATTTAATATATATATATATTAAAAATTTTTTAAGTCACGTGTAGTAGATGGAGACTGCTCGGTTAATTAGCAAATTTGATTGGTCGATTTGAGAGGATGATTTATGAGGTGATTTGCAACGATTTTTAATACGTGAGAAATTAATGAAAAGTGATCCTCTCTCTCCCCACTTTCTAATATGATGATTTGTACGATAAGAATTGAAGATTATTTTACAAATTATGTTGTTAATCAATTGAATGTTAAGATTTAACATAATTCAGACTACTAGTTATTTTTAGCAACAACAATAAACAACAACAACAACAACAACAACAACAACAACAACGCCAATAAATTATAATTTCTTAGCAAAAAATTATTTTTTTTCCAAAATTAAAAATTGCGCACCCAAATCAATCAATAATTAACTATTTGTTGAATTAATAAATAATAATAATAACAAATAATTATATAATTATTAATTAATGAGCCAAACAATAATTAAAATTTTCCTTATCTAAAGAATTAATTGTTTATTGTTTTTTAAATCCTTGATAAAAAAATTTTGTTTTTGCTGATTTCAACCGGATTGAGAAAACAAAAATATTTTAAAAGCGAGAACGCAGTTTTTTTTTCATTTGTTATCATAAAATCATATACTTGTATATATATATATGGTATATGTGGTGGTAAGGATTATATAACTATTTTAAAATAAAAACGGTTTTTTTGCTTATTTTATCTTTTGGATTTAATCCATTATAGGGTTACTATTATTATTTTTACTATTATACTATTTATTTATTATTTTTATTTTAATCGATAAGAGAAATAGACAATAAATTTTTAGACGCGTGCTTTAAACCAAATATTAACAATAACAAATATTTTGATCGACGCTATCGATCGTTTATTATTGATTAAAGGAATAAAAATAAAATAACCAAATGACGCTATTTAGTTACGATTTAAAGAAATGTGGTAAAATTATAAAAGGCAGAAGAGAAGAAGATAGGCCTAATTATAAGGTTTCTTTCTTTTCCTAAATTTATTTTTATTTCTAGTAAATTTTCATTAATTACCTACAAAAGATTTTACATAAATAAAAAAAAACTTTTAAATAAAAATACACAAAATGTGAAAAATAAAATAATTATTTGTATAAAATCTACACAAATTAATTAATTATTAATATTACTTAATTCATTTACCTTTTTTGAATTATAGATTGCCAATAAATTATATTTGATGGTGATATAATTGATAACAAAAATATAAAAAAAAAATTTTTATTTTCAAAAAAAACCTGATGTTATTTTTTTTCAATTTTTGTTTTATATATATGTATATATAATTATTATGATTACAATTGATTGTTTTATAATATAAATAATTATATAATAATGTATGTAAACATATGTTATTCTCTAACCAATTGGATATACATTGTATGGCTAAATTATTATATACTATCAGTAGTTATCAGTATTTCGCTCAACAAAAACCCAGTTTTTCAAAATCTAGTATACTAGTCAAATTTTTTTTATATAAATTTTAAGTTTTTTCGAAAAAAAAAAAAGAAAAATATAGATTTACTTCAAAAAAAAAATAAATAATAAATAACAACAAAACATGTTATTTATTTATTACCAATTTGCTTATTAATTTTTAATTCTAATTTTTTAAAAAATTTAAATAAAATCTCCAAAAAAGACAATATTTTTTTTTATTTTTACTTTTTACAAAAGAAAAAATCAAAATTATTTTTCATAATCATATTTATCATTTCTCTTTCTTTTTTTTTTTTTTTTTAAATATATCAATATTTTTCTTCTTTATTTATCATTAAAACTTGATTTAACGAATTATCTATTATTATAATAAATATTTATTTATTATTTAACGAATCAATAAAATATATAAAATTTGTAAGTCAAATTCGATAAAAAAGTTTTTAATATTTTTTTTTGAAATACTAATATATTTTTTTATTCCTTCTCTCTCCACACATTAACCAGACCCTTAATATACATACTATTACCGAAAATCAATAACGAAAGCAACAAAAAAAAACAAAATGCCATACGCAGGACCAGCTGAAGACGAGTGGGCAACAATATCTTTAACTTTTAACAATAACAACAACAATAACAACAACAATAATAATAACAACAAGAAGAGACAAACAAACTTTTTGATAAATCATAATAACATCAATGAAAATACTTCTTCCAGTTCCACCTCTACAGTTACAACTACCACGACTACCACATTCTCCACTACCATTAAAAATAACAATTCCAAAACCTTTCTTTTATCATCGTCTCTTCAAGACTACAACAGTAACAATATTACAACTTCTTCATACAATGCTTCCAATATCGAAACCACTTCAAGACATAAATTTTCATCGTCTTTTCAACCAGAATTCTTAACAGCCTCTTCAAGACGTAAATCTGCTCCCGAGTTTTTAAAACCTTTACTAATCCCACAAAAAAATTTTCAACATGAAGATGATCAATTAATAATTATAAAAAAAAAAAATGGCGATATAGTTAAACCTTCCCTAAAGAAAAGATCAAAATCTGAGCCTAATACTCCAATACTACCAAAATATGTTCATTTCAACGCCGATCTAGAACAAATACGTCTATTCAGAGAAGCTCAAGAACCTCAAGCTGTCAGTGCTGATGTAACTTCTGACGAATCTGATGAAGATGACGATGATGATTTCGTTTTCTCGGAAGATGACGACGACGATGGTTATTATAGGAATTTCATCGATCAAGAACCTGAACTAACCATCACCCTACCAAATATGCCTCCAATAACAACATTACATAGTTCCAAGCCTGTATATGTCGATTCTATATTCTTGTCAAGAGATAAAAATAAATTACAAGGTCGTATAATGGTGCAAAATATCGCTTTCCATAAACTGGTTGAAGTCAGATACACTTTTGATTTCTGGCAAACTGTATCAGAAGTTAAAGCTACCTATGCAGGAGGTATAGCTGAAAAAGACAAAGATAGTTTCGATGTTTTTATATTCTCGATAGAATTATTCGACAATTCAAGAAACCCCATTGATGGAAAAACGATGTATTTTGCTGTACATTATAATGTTAGTAATCGTGACTATTGGGATAACAATTCTGGTTCAAACTATCGAGTAAATTTCAAAAAAGTAAAGAAATCGTCATCATCATCGCAGGGTAACCACCATTGTCATCAAAATAATAATATTAATAATCAAGGATCATTACCTACTGCTATTGCTACCAATTCATCATCATCAAGAAAATGGCCAATAATACCTTCAACACCAGTGAATCATCTTCCAAAAAAAAGTTTAAGTTACGACTGTCATTCGCCACCAAATTCCAACACTCGTACTTCAATAGCTGATTCAAGAAAAAAAGGAGTTGCGGGCCGTTATGATATTGGAGTATCATTATCAGCAGCTCAAAATATCCCACGTTCATTCTCATCATTTAACAATAACAATAACGTTAATAATACTAATATTAGTAATAAAAACATCAATAAAATTAATAATAATAATTCAGCAACAACATTATCATCACCGATTTCTTCATTTACACGAACTAATTATTATCATCAAACACCATACTTTCCAGCAATTTCATGTGATGCTGCTTATAAATCATTTTCTTCAGGAAGTTGTTACATTGATGGTATGCCAGTCACAACAGAAACAGCGCCATTATCATCACCATCGCTTCAATGGGAAGGTTCGCCTAAAAAATCATTTGGTGGGTTTCCATTAATGTCATCAAATCCAATAGCAATACCAACCACAAAATCTTCAAGTTCTTATTATGATCATATTGTTTCACAATATTGTTTCTCGTCTGGCTCACCTTGTGCAACCGCTGCTTTAGCCTCTTCGCCATATGCTAGCTCTCCACCAGTAATGTAGTTAGTTGCATATTTATATATATTATAGTGCAAAATCTATTAGTATTGTGATGATTCCTTTATTTTATTTTTTAAATTAGCAAAATTCAAAATATTTCGAAAAAAAAATATATATAATATAATATATTATGTAAATTGAATTTATATATTATATATGTTATATATATCGGGCCAATTTATATTTACAAAGCCCCATATACATACATAATATACATATGGATATAATAGATATTTATAGTAATCGGAGAGTTATATAATATAATGCTAATAATAGTGTTCTAATTTCAAAAAAATTAAACTAAACGGACATCATCGAAATAATGTTTATCATTTCTAATTAGTCCAAAAAAAAATTTTTTAATAATAAAAGATTGCTTTTTTCCTGGGAAAAAAAAATATTAGTTTACAACCTCATCTCGCACACGTTTTTTAACAATTACAAAATCACAATCACACATTATCATATTATAATTTTCACTTTATATCACAATTTTTATATAAGGTTCATTCATTCATTCAATATTTCTTTTTGGACAATATTAATAAATGATTTTCACGTTTAAATAATCTTTATTTATAATAATAGATATAAACAACATTTTTATTTTGTAAATATATATATATTTTCCTTTTATCTTAGCAATATTATAAATATGCAAGTATTATAACATTTTTAATTAATAATTATTTATATATGATTAGAACTTTGTATTGTTTATTTGACAGATAAGATTTTGTGGAATACACATGCAAAAAATTGTAGGAAGTTACGCGGGAAGATTTTGTAACAATTGTATATTGTGGTTCTTTGCATAAACAAATAAAAATATTTTTTGTCAATAAAAACAAATATAAAAATAATAACAATAAAACTATATTAATATATTTATATTTATATTTATTATTAACGCACAAAATCAATCCGGTGCAGCATTCAATCTATTCCGGGATTAATTTAAGATTTATTATTATGTCTACAAAAAGGAATTTATAGTTTCACGAAAATGTATAATAAATTCTGTGATCGATCATGCCGAGAGAAGCGATAATAGCATGCACGAGTTAATTTCTCCGTGTAATAATCTATATAAATTTGGATGCGCACATTATTTAAAAAAAAATAATGCATATTTTATTTACATTTTATTTCTCAAATTGTTTTTTATTAATTTCATTTGAGAAAATATTCTTTCTACATTGGAAAGAGGTATGAGATGGGTTATTCTGTGATAAAGGGAAAAATATTTTGTTAAATCAGCAAAATATTTTGTTAAATCAGCAAATATTTGTCACTAAAATAAAGTTTTAATTGATGATCCATGAATGATCATTTATCATATAGACGAAAAATCTACAGGTGCTACAAAGTAAAGTTTTTTATTTTCTGATTAAAAATCAAAAAAAAAAGTATCAATATATTCCTTGATGTTTACTCCATCTTATAAAATAAAGGGATATAAATTTGAGGCACAAAAGCATAATGCTATTTTCTTGTAAAAGATCATAAAGTAAAATTTTTTAGTAGTAAAATCAGCGATCATTTAATATGAAACCTCCCTTTTACTATTACTATGTACGGACGGACATACTCATTTATCAATTAATCTATTCGTTCATATAAAACCTCAGCAAGTTTATATCCCTCATTGATATTCTCATTCGGAGCAGATAATACAGAGTTCATGATTTGATGCAAACTACTCACTGGATTTTGAAAATGATAACCATCTAGTATCAACATGTGTTTAAAAATTAATAATAAAAAAAAAACAGAATTAAAAAATATCAATTTTAAAATTTGTTGAAAAATAACCATACAAATTTTTTAATATTTTTCAAAATATATAACCTCTTCTAAAGCATTTTTTTCCAGCTAGAAGGAAGTTTATGTGATATGCAATGGTTGAAGATATGAATGGGTTGATTTCTTTAAATCTTGTTGCAACACCACTTGTATTTATTAATTAAAATTAAATAAATTCATACAAATCTTATTAAAATCTCAATTTGATTAAAAATATTTTCATCATAATCCAGATTAACCATCTCATAAATGGTATATTATTGGTGATATATTTCCTACTATTTGCTAAATATTTATCACCATTAACACTATTAGTTTTATCAATCATTATACTCCTTTAAAAGGGATTTACGTTATTATTATTTAATGACAGTGGCTGAAACTACCTTACTTTGTGGGCCAAATTGCCAAAATTAATTAGCCTAAACTTAATTTTAATAATAGCTGAAATTATTTTTAAGTCTTTTGAAATAAATTGATTTAGATGTTTTGTTATTATAAAAATATTGGGCTACCATAGTATTAGATAAAACTACCTTTTTTTCAAAATAGTTTCAGCCACCATTACTAAATAATATCAATTAAAAAATTTTAAATTTAAAAATATACAATTAGAAAACTTTTTCCAAAAATCCATTATTATCAAAGAAATCCGTTATATTGAGAAGAATTTCATTATTATAGTTTTAGCTATTATTATTATTATAAAACCTCAATCCATTAAATCGAGGTACACTAAATCGTGATTCACTGTGTAATATAAGCTTGATATTATAAAATATTTTAGGAATCCGGTTTGATTCGAATCAAATTGAGTCACTCTAAATTTCAATTTTATTCGATTAGTTCGAAGCCTTGATTTGCATATCAATGAATGATATTTTCTTTCCTGATAGACTTGATTTTCCTGCAATCTTCTTCTGTGTTGTGTTGAGACCTAACAAGAAGAATAAGAAAAAATCAATATACATCTCTATTTTTTTTGTCAACAAATGCATGTTATACTGAGATAAAATCGTTATATTTTAAGAACTATTTGTTTTTTCGATCAATTGATGAGAGCGATCTTAGCAAACAATAAACTATTACTTTTTCGATCAATTAATGAGAAAGATTTTAACAAACAATAACGAACTATTGCTTTTTTGATCAATCAATGTGAGGATCTTATTATCATTTTGATCGTGGTAGTATGTTGATATTTAAAATATTCGTGTTATTGTGACTTTAAAGGACCATACCAGTTATTACTGCGATGCTAAATTGGAAAAGCATATATGTTTGTTTAAATATATATATATACGAGGAAAAATCTTGTCATCTCAACTAACCTTTAACTCTTTAATAATTAGGATACCTTTATTTTGTTTCAAAATATCATATAATCATTATCTCGATTATTTCACCTAATCTCATTTTTTCACTATTACCAACAATTGAAAAAAATGACTTCAATTTTTATTGCCTTCTGTTACATTCCAGTTGCAGTTCCACAGAGGTCTATCAATAGAAACTGCAGTGATAAGGGAAGCCAAACTTACAAAGATATTGTCTTCAAAGAGTGTAGATGCATTAGATTTTGGGATCCTGACAAAAAATTATTCATACGCCCAGTTTAAAAACCTAACAAACTTACCCAAGGGGTATGCTTGCAAGAAGGCTCTCTCTTGATCGATGACAAAAGTATCGAAGTGACGTTCCAAACCCTGACAAGTATAATTGTGCAGAAGGAAACGAAATTGATGACAAAGGTGTACCGAGGCGATGATTTCATTTCCAAAACGCGTTCGTTTTGACAGCTCTTAAAACTCAAGGCTTAACATAACGTTAGATGTTGATGAAGTCATGTTTACGAGCCACTTCGCGGATAAGTTGCACATCCTGGGCTTTGATTATTCCTTAGAGGAGTATAAAGTATTAGAGGCTGTGAACTGCATCAATATAAATAATAATACCAATAACAATAATGAAAATCGTTATAAATAACAATACTAACAACAACAACCAATAATATATAAATTATGGCGCACGCAGATCATCAAATTGATAGTGGTATATATATGTATATAAAAAGTTTCCCACCAGGGCGCAGCCAAAAATATACACAATGATAGTTGTGGGGAAGAAGACAAAATTAGTTAAAACATTAATATCACAAACCAAACAACATTAACCAAATTTCTTATTTGGGTAGGGTTTTAACTAGTTTTACATGGTCAATGAAATGGAGTGCATTCGCTTAATTATCCTATTCTATTATAAAAAAAGAGTAGACTATGAATGACATCAAGCCAAAAAGGGTATTTTTTATTTTTCTATTACATGTAATTTTTTTAAACGAATAAAAATATCACGGCAAGATTTATGTCGTCGTTAAACCAAAAAAATGTATTTTCTTGGTGTCTTATACAATTATCATCATGGTTTTTGTTATTTTTACGATTGAAGGACGATTTGAATGAGAAAGGCAAAAAAAAAAGAGAATGCGCATTAAAAATAAGAAACTTATTTTATTATAAATTAAAAAGTAATTATATGCTAATGTAACAATTTATATATAACAGAGAATAAAAATAATTTTTATTAAAAAAAACCAAAATATTCAACGTAAGATGCATAATAGCAATTACCATCGACGGTTTTTTTTTTTTGTGTTTGCACTAGTATTTCATTATTATTTCCTCGTTTTCCAGCAACATTAAACGCCTTGTTTTTTTTATCTGTTATACATAACAATTATTTATTATTAAAAAATAAATGTTCAATTTAATCAATCATAACCAATTTAGTTATTATTAAAAAGAATATATATAATATATACAAACATTTGCAGGCCTTTTCCTCGTGTTCTTATCTAATCCAGATTCGTCACTTTCTTCGAATTTTGATGCACCATAGATTTTTTTTCATAATCATTGCTACTTTGTAATGACCCCAAAAAATCATTATCAACAATAATGACAATGATCCTTCTCACTCTCCGTGGGCTCAAATTCACTCGTGGAGTCAGTTTGTGCTTTTGAATCATCGTCTTTTCATCCAATCTAAAAAACGACCACTGCCATATGTAGAAACCCACAAGATCTTTTACATTATCTGTGTCCAATTCAAATTAAGTGTTCCTTTATAAAATAAAGTATCTATTGAATTTTTACATCTCTGAATTCATTCATTGGAATGTAATATGTATTGGTGAA